GGGCCCGTGGGCGGCGCGTGCGCCTGGGGCGGGGTGAGCCTTGGCGGCCATCTTGACTCAGGGCAGGCGCCAGGGTCCTGCCGGGATTCTGTGCCCTGACGGGGTTTGATTGCTAGGTGAGTGGGTTAAAAGCGGAGACGCGTCTTCACTCCCCCGCCGACGCTCTCAGGTGTTCTTGCCGCTCGGGCCGAGAACAGTTCGTCCCCAGCCTTCTCTCGGAAGTCGCCCAAGGTTGTGTCCGCGGAGGCTTTGCAATAGGCCCCGGGCGACGAATTCTGGGGCCGCGCGAGGTGACCGGCCCCGCGGGCCTCGCCTGACACCTCGAACTCGTCCAGGCCACCCCGCAGCACAATGGACATCCAACAGCGGCCCCCTCGCCCGGAAAAGGCCACGAGACTGCCCTTCAGGAAGCTAACGCTTGGTCAGAGGCTAGCGATGGCTCCTGGACTGGAGTTCATTAGGAAAAGAGAAACTGGCGCCTTTCCTCAGATTCTGGCCCTGCCCCCCTCCCCCTCCCCCGTTAAGGGAAGGGTCTTGCTAGATGGACTTAGGCAACGTGCACTTGATGGAAAAGCGGGTTTCATTTAGGCTCAGGTGCCGCAGGTGCAGAGTTGTGAGTTTAGCATACATAGCAATGCCAAAAACCACTTAGGAAAGAAGTCAAAGATCCCCAGCCATTTAGAAGATTCCTGTTCTGTGTTAGGGGAAAGCTTACGTAGCAAATTAGGCACTCACAGGACAGTTCCTACATAGCTGGTTTCATGATACTGACCGAGTCTTCATAGTGTGTCAACGTTCTAATTTGGGTGATTCCCCCCAGGAATCTGGTTCCCAGCTTCTCCGTAGCCTCCCGTCCTTGTTTGAACCTAAATGTTGTGTTTGATCTCCTATGGTTCATTATTTGAGGAAGCAGCTCATTCATGAGTGGTTTATTTTACAATCCAGTCAACTCTTTCGATGTGTTACGGTGATGGTCTTGGGGGGGCCTCCGCCTCTTATTGGTCCAGGAAGCCTGGCTTTGCTGTTGTCTTTCTTACACAGGCTTCCTTTCTTTGGACACCTCGTGTTATGAGCCATTGAGAGTAAGGTCTTACCTCATGCTGTTAGGCTCATCATAAAATTGAGACAAAATGGAGGGAGACGGAGAAATATAACCAGGAGTATTTTCTTTTAATTCATTTACACTTACTTTAACATATTTGAACAATGTGAAAGTATAGAAGGTGAACAACTTTTAGCCCTCCTTCTGCTATCCTATGTTCTTGAGCATAGTCAGTGTCTTAAATTTGGTATGTATACCTCCAGGCATCTGCCTACATCTACGTAAGAAAAAAATACTTTTGCAAAATTACTTTTTTCATCTGGTCTATATTTATGTGCCATACAAATGTGCCACAGAGATGACACGTTGTATTAAGTTTATATTTTTAAAAATAACCTAATTTTATTTTTGCTGAAAGTATGTGCAGCAAAAGCCACTCCCAGTTTCTACACATCATGATCTGTAATGTTGATTACCTTCCTTGTGTCAACATTCTTGTTAGTTTTTTTGTAGTTGTTTCACTCACATTCATTTAAATTCCCTGCCCTTCACCCTTCACCTTTTGGACATAGATAAAGTTTTGTTCAGTTTGTTTGCCAATGTCAAGAGTTGACAGTCTATTAAATCAGTTTACATTTTTCAGATTGTTGCATAGCATAGTATTACATTCAAAAAGGAACACTGCAAATATCCATTAATAACTAGAAAATGGAATGTGCAAAATAATGAATTTAGGAAAATTGGAAATCATAAAACATGAAATGGAATGCATATAAGAATTGATAGCCTGGCCATTAGAGAACTGAAGTGGCCTGACATTGGTCACTTTAAGTTGAACAAACATGGTCTTTTCTTTTTAACAAACATGGTCTATTGTGCTGGAAGGACAAATTGAATATAGCTAGGTAGCTACCTGACTGACTGACTGGAAGAGATCCATATTCATAGCCATTCCAAAGAAAGATGAGCCAACAGATTGAGGTAGTTATTAATATCGTTAATATCACACAAGTAAAATTTTGCTAAAGATAATTCAAAGTGGTTGAAGCAGTACACAGGAAACCATTACAAATTCAAGCCGGATTCAGAGAGAAGGACAAGAGGTATCATTGATGATGTCACATGGACCTTGGCTGAAAGACAATACTAGAAAGGTTTTTACCTGCATTTTAATGACCATGCAAAGCCATGAGACCGTGTAGATGGTAACACTGCAAGAATGGGAGTTCTGGGACACTTAGTTGGGCTCATGTGGAACCTGTACATAGACCAAGGGGCAGTTTGAATAGAACAAGGCAATACTTTGTGGCTTTAAATCAGAAAAGGTATGAGTCTGGCCTGTGTCCTTTCTCCATTCAGTCTGGATGCTGAGCAAATCATCTGCGTGGTTGGACTATGTAAAAGGATGCAACATCAGGATTGGAGGAGGACTCATTAACAACCATTGATATGCAAATGACACGACCTTCTTTGCTGAAAGAGAAGAGGACTTAAAGCACTTCCTGAAGATTGAAGACTTTAGTCTTCAGTATGGATTCTACCTCAAAATAAAGAAAAATTCCTAAAAAATGTAACACTAAGCCCCATTGTGATAAATGGAGAAAATGCTCACACTTACATTTAATTTTAATTAGATTTCCTTTTGCTTGCATCCACAATCATTATCCATGGAAGTAGCAGCCAAGAAATCAAACAGTGTATTGTGTTGGGCAAATCTGCTGCAGAAGATCTGTTGAAAGGTAAAGATAAAACTTGGAGGACTGAAGTGTGCCTGGCCCAAGCCATGGCCTTTTCGGTTGCCTCATATACATCTAAAAGCTACCCATTAAAGAAGACTGAAGAAGAATTGATGCCTTTGAATCAGAATTTGATGAAGAACATTGAGTATACCATGGACTTTTGGACTATGGAATATTGACTATACCAGAAGGATGAACAAGTAGAGGAAGTACAACCAGATCCTCCTTATGAGGATGGCAGTCTTTATCTTAGGTATTTGGGGTATGTTATCAGGAGGGACCAGTGTCTGTAGAAAGACATCCTGCTTGGCAAAATAGGGGTCCGTGACAAGAAGACTCAATGAGATGGACTAAGCGTGGCTACAACAAAAGGCTTAGACAGTGATGATTGTGAGGACGGAGCAGGAGCAAGCATTGTCATGGGGATGTTGTGAGGCAGAACCTACTTCGTGGGACCAGACACACACACAACCTTCCATTTTGTGATTGCACATCTCTACCATGATAAACTCAACTAGTTTCAGTTTTTTGCTTTTTAAACAGCAGTATAACGGACATCTTTGTATAGTTATCCTCCTGCATTTATAGATAGACTTGTGGATAACCCAAAACCAAACTCACTGCCATTGAATTGATGCCACTCATAGCGCCCTTGTAGGAGAGGGTAGAACTACCTGTCCCTATGGGTTTCCGAGACTATAGTTGCTTACAGGAGAAAGCCTCATCTTTCCCCCTTGGAACAGCTGGTAGTTTTGAACATCTAACCTTGTGGTTAGCAGCCCAAGCATTAATACTAGGCCACCAGGGCTTCTTTAAATTTGTCAATAGGACATGTATATTTAAAAAATTTTATAATCTCTTTTTAATTGGCTTTCAAAATTTGTTATTTACATGCACACTCAGTGTGTGAATGTACCCATTTCCTACAACCTTGACAGTTCTGGATACTCTGAAGTTTTTATACAATTGCTTATTTGATAGCTAGAAAAGGATATTTCATTGCTATTTTACTTTGCGTGTTAGGAATAGCTAAATGGAAAAATTTAGCTTCTCATTACTTTTTTTCCTTCTCATTACTTTTTGGTAATTT